AAGTGATCCGTTTCGGAGACTGCCGAGAAGATTGATGTCGCACTCTTGTAGCGTGTTCTTCCGGAGGCTCCCTGGCGACATCATGTTTTCCAAGCGGCGCGCTTGGCGAGAGCGAGTCCTGGCGCGCGTCCTCGGCGCGCTGCAGAGCGAGACGCCCGCTGGCCTTCCAGAGCACGACGGGCAGAGAAGCATCGTCCGGTGTGGTGAGCTGCTCGACGACACCGGTGAAGCTCTCTCGTCGACGGCACCAGAAAATAGAGTTGCCAGCGCAACAGTTGCCCCCTCTTGGCAGCCTGCGGAGACGCCGTTGGACACGGCCTCGCCTGCGCTGGCGAGGAAGGTCTGCCGAGAGCCGCTGTGTTGCAGCCCGTGCGCCACTTCTGCGACGCTGCAGCACGATCTGATCCGGCATCTTGTCGAACGTTGTCTGCATCTGTCGGACTGTTTGTTCTCTTCTCATCGGTGAACACAGATTGTTCGCCAGCGGAAGAGATGCCTTTGCCGTCCGCGAAAGTAGGCTTCCACTGCAGCAGCTGCTCGATCACTCCTGTCGCCTAGGTGACTGGGGCACCAACTCTCTCCTAGCCGCCGACCTGTCGCGGAACCCCCTTCTCGAAGTGCAAGTGCTTCATGAGGCGTGTCGGTATTTGAAAACAAGTCGGGCGATAGCCCACCTTGCCACGGAGGCTGCGTCGATGAGCTCGACCCTTCGAGCGGCCGGCTGAGTGGCGCTGCCGCGGGGGCCCTGGCTGAGCAGCTGGGCAGCGCTCGCGCGGATTGGCCGCGCCGCGGGAAGAGCAGCGCCGCTGCCTCCGCGGGCGACTCTCCCGGCTCGGGGGACCGGCTCGCTCGACCACCGCGGGGAGCCGAGGCGCTTCCGCCGTTGACCCTCGCCAGCGCGGCTGCCGCCTCCGCTGGCCCTCGGGAGGCGGCGGCGCGGCCCGCGCAGCGAGCTGAGGAGCATCGCCGCGGCTTGCCTCCGCCAACCCAGGAGCCTCCTCTATTTCCTCGGGCGTCAGAAAACGCGCGCATTCCCAGTTGCGAGCAGATGCGGTGGAATAGGACGCCACATGCGAACCCTACCCCTACCCCCCACGATTTCTGAGGGGGAGGTTGGGGTTCACTTCGTTCGGGAGCTCCCGAGCGAAGTGAACCCCACCCTCCCCCTCAGAAATCGTGAAGGGTAGGGGTAGGGTTCGCATGTGGCCCCCTATGGAAGCCCCAGGCGTCCCCTGTGTCCCACCCATTGGTTCCTCCGTCGGCAGGCTGAGCAGCGCCGCTGGGAGACACGCCTGCCAGGTCCTCGCCAGCGGAAGGAGAGCTCCGCGGCGATGGCGAAGGCGAGACATCCACAGGCTGACGAGGCGCAGTCTCGACCCTCGCCTTACGGTGGGGGCGTTGGTTAAGGAATGCGCCCAGGAGGCGCCAGACCCTGGAGGATTCCTTATCTCACGAAGGTGGCGGTGATATCCGAGGCCAAGCCTCGATTGGAGTTCCACCGGCTTCCAGACCCTGGATTCCTTACCCAAGGGTTCTTTACCCAATGCCCTCAGTGTATCAGCAACGCCTCGAACCGACGTGGCAGCACATCCCCAGGAAAGGAGCAAGTTATGGGAGCATGCATCAAACACACGTAGCACGCACAGGGCCCGAGCCCGAGGGAAGAAGCAACATGTAGGAACAGACGTAAGGCACATAGAACTCGAGCCCCAGGACAATATATAGGGACAGACGCCACGCAAGTAGGGTTCGAGCCCCTGGAAAAGGGCAATCTAAACGAACGCACGTAAACACACATAGGATTCGAGTCACAGGAGAGGGGCAATATCTAGAAACGCACGTGAAACACATCCGGTTCGAACCCCAGGAGAGGGGCAATCTACAGGAACGTACATTGAATGTTTAAAATTCGAGCCACAGGAGAGGGGCAATCGAAAAGACCATACGTACAACACACAAGTTTCGAGCCCCAGGAATCCGTAGCCATTTTGGCTCAAGGGCGCTCGCTGCTGCTGCCCCGGTCTCGCGCCGGAAGTAGACGGGAAGAGAGCCCGCAGTCATGCGGCTGCTTGCCGCCTGGTCCCTCGCGCCGCTCGTTGCGGCTGCCGGCCAGGCGAATGCGCCAGAGTTGCCAGCCACCACCGTGACCCTGTACAAGGTGTCACAGGGCCCCGACGAGTGTGGTCAGTTCACGATAGATGCGCGGCTGAAGGAGGCAGCGGAGAAGTGGCTCCAGATGGCGGAGGGCCATTGCGGCGCCCATGGCTACGAGGAGCCGACGGGCAGCCGCAGCGCCGTTGTGCCAATCATCGGCGGGCACGTCAACGTGACGCTCTACAAGAAGGCGGACCCCCTGGCCGGCCTGAAGAAGGCGGGCAAGGGCGCCTTGAGCCAGGCCCTCGCCCGGGCGATGGGCCTGCCCACCGAGAGGTTGCCCGTGTGCTGCAAGACCTGCGAGGAGGGAAGATCAAAGTATTACGAGATCAACGACGAGAAGCGGCTGTGCAGCGAAGTCTGCATGACGCCGCAGGCCGCCCTCGTGGCCAGGTTCTTCGCGCCGAGCCTCGTAGAAGCCGAGAGCGGCGCCGTGTGCGCGAGCCTCGGCTACGAGATCTACAACGAGACCGTGGCCAAGGGCCCGGGCGTCCAGGCGGACGTGTACGCGTGGGGCGCGAAGCCGGCGGAGGCGGACGAGGGCTGGACCACAATCTACCGCTCCGAAGGCGCTGAGTGCTTCCAGGCCACCGCCGCGCGCAGGTACGCCGACCTTGCAGTGGCGGCCGCGGGCTTCCAGGAGGGCCGCTGCGCGGACGGCGGCTTCACGGAGGAGCAGGACGCCCAGGTGCCCGGGCTGCTGACCGGCGAGGCGAGGCTCACGCTGTGGAAGAGGCCGGGGGAGTTGGCCCTCGGGGACATGCTGCGCTTCACGAGGAGCATGTTCGGGGAGGAAGGTGGGGGCTCCGCGACGCGGGAGCCCAGCCTGATGGACTTCCTCGTGTGAACCGGGGGCAGGATAGGCTAGGACCGTTCGCGAAGCGAAACCTTGTGTCAGCGCGTCAGCCAGGGTGGTGGTGGTGGTGGTGGTGGTGAGTTGGGGAGCAGCAGGCAGACGAGGAGGAGTGTGAGCCAAAGTGCTACCCTTCGCTTCCTCGGTATCTGCCAGGCGGTGCCTCCTGCGGTCGATTGACCACTCTCCCGCGTCCTTGGCCCACTTCCTCCACCTCTTGCTCCTCCTCCTCCTGCCCCTCCTGTCCCCCTCCTCCCGAGACCCACGTGGACAAGACAGTGATCACAGTCTCTGCTGCGCCGCCTCTCGAATTGCGCTTGCCGCCCGACTTGTTGTACACAACGGCCTGTATTGCGCACTGGGTCCTGGCGCCAGAGATGCTGGCCGCACAGGATACAAAAAAAAGAAGAAAACAAAAAAAAAAAAAAAAAAAGTTTCGAGCCCCAGGAAAGGGGCAATATATGGTCCAGGGTCGAGGGTTCACAGGCCCCCCCCCCAGATGGTATGGTCCCAGGATTCCTCGGGCCCCCCCCCCAAGATGGTGTGGTCCCAGAGACGACGACGACGACGACGACGACGACGACGACGACGACGACGACGACGACGACGACGACGACGGCGACGGCGACGGCGACGGCGACGGCGACGGCGACGGCGACGGCGACGGCGACGGCGACGGCGACGGCGACGACGACGACGACGACGACGACGGCGACGACTACGACGACGGCGACGACGACGACGACGACGACCACGACGACGACGACGGCTGCGGCGGCGACGACGACGATGACGACGACGGCGACGACGACGACGACGACGAGGACGACGACGACGACGACGACGACGACGACGACGACGACGACGACCTCTGAACCACCACAGCACTTCACCACATCCACAGGGGGGGGGGAGGGGGGCACCGCAGCGCAGCACCACGCCACGCCCACTTCTGAACCACCACAGCACCACACCACATCCACAGGGGGGGGGGGGGGCACCGCAGCGCAGCACCACGCCACGCCCACAGGGGGGGGCGGGGGGGACCATCGCGCGGGGGGGGGGGGCCCAATGGCATCAGCATTGGGGGTGGGGGGGGGCCAAGCCCTGGACCATATATGAGAACATGCATGAAGCACATCGGATTCGAGCCCCCGCCAAGGGGCAATCGATAGGAACATTCGTAAAACACACCGTAGACCCCAGGAAAACAGCTCTCTCTATATATATATATATAGGAACATACGTATATCATACAGCAATATATAGGCACATACGAAAAAAAAAACTCAGCGGATCCGAGCCCCAAAAAAGGAAACTCTATAGGAACAGACGCAAAGCACATGCGATTCGAGCCCCGGGAGTGGGGCAATATATAGGAACGCACGTAGAAGACAAGCGGTTCGAGCCACAGGAGAAGGGCTATACATAGGAGCAGGCGTAAAACATATCGGATCCGAGCCCCAAGAAAAAGTGCATGTCAGTTAAACTCAAGCCACAACAGAATGCAAGTCGCATGTTGAAGCGTGGGTGCCAAGCGTCCCGGTAAACCAGTGTGTTTTTTCGCCCGGGCTCGATATCTCGACATCTCGATATCTCGATATCCGAGGGCGTGGCTGGGCGGGGATTCGATATCTCGGTATCTCGATATCGGAGGCGGGGCCGGGCCGGGATTCGATATCTCGATATCTCGGTATCTCGACGCCTTGCGGCCTCCTGAGAAGGCCCGCCCCCTTGTTTACCTTTCGTTCGCCTCATACTTGTGCCTCCCATTTTCGTTCGCCTTTCGTTCGCCTCTCACTTTTGCCTCCCACTTTCGTTCGCCTTTCGATCGACTAGTTTCGCCTTCCACTTTCGTTCGCCTTGCAAACCTTCCTTTCGGAGGCGAAGCGACAGTAGGAGGCAAAGCGAAAGTAGGAGGCGAAGCGAAAGTGGGAGGCGAAGTAAAAGTGGGATGTGAAGCGAAAATGGGAGGCGAAGCGGAAGTGGGAAACGAAGCGAAAGTGGCAGGCGAAGCGAAAGTGGGAGGCGAAGCGAAAGGGGGAGGCGAAGCGAAAGGGGGAGGCGAAGCGAACCTGGGAGGCGAAGCGAAAGTGGGAGGCGAAGCGAAAGTGGGAGGCGAAGCGAACGTGGGAGGCGCAGCGAACGTGGGAGGCGAAGCGAACGTGGGAGGCGAGCGAAAGTGGGAGGTTACCGAAAACGTGAGAGCGACAGTTGGAGGCGAGCAAAAGTGGGAGGCGAGCGAAACCGGGAGGCGAGCGAAAGTGGGAGGCGAGCGAAAGTTGGAGGCGAGCGAAAGTGGCGGGCGAGCGAAATCGAGAGCGCTCATCTCCCACGTTCGCGTTTTCCTTGTCGTAGATTTGTTTCTCGTCTTGTGGTTGAGTCCGTCTGTCGTCAGACTCACGTGCACAGTCTTAGGGCCATCTTGGGCCGTCCTGGGCCCTTGCTAGCCATCTCGAGGGTTGTTGGGGGCCCTCTTGGAGACCTCTTGGGGCCCTCCTGGGACGCTCTTGGGCAGTCTTGGCTCATTCCTGCGGGGCGTTTGAGGGCCCTCTTTTACCGCCTTGGGCCCATCTTGGGGCGTAGTGGGGCTCTCTTCGGCTGCCTTGGATTTTGAAGCCCTCTTCGGAGCCTCCTGGGGCCGCCTGCGAGGCCTCATGAGCCCTCCATGGGCCGTCTGCGAGGCCCCATGGGAAACCTGAAACTTGAGGGACCCCCTGCCTGGGTGGCTTCTGAGGACGCCGCAGGCCCCCTAGTGGACAGTTACACGCCGGTCATTGAAAGTAGGTATTTCGGGATTCCCAGATCCCAATCTACTTTAGGCGCCTTCCTACTTCAATGAACGAGTGGCTTCCCCCTTTCCTTCCTCTTCAGGAGGCGGTCCAGCGCCTTCCTACTTCATGGTTCTACCCACTGCATCCGACCGACGTGTAGGTAACCAGAGGCAGGGCTGAAGAGACCAAGGATAACATGCCGAAGTCCATTGTGATTGCGTCACACGGAGTCTGTACTGGAGCGGCGGTCATGGTCAGCACGGGGTCTCCTAGCCCCGTTGTGCCACGGGGACAGAACGGGATCACATCAGCCCCGTTGGGCTCCCGAGGGCTCCCGAGAGGGGTCGCGCAACATGCCCGCCAACACGGGTGTGTGGCTGCCACAGGTTGGCAGCGCCACATAGTGGGCGCGGCCACATGCAAGACAGCAAGCACAATGGCATCAGGACAGCACCGCAGCAAGGCGCACCCATGGGGGGCCGGCGGATTTACGCGGGCGTATAGGGGAGAGACTTCGCTGGCCTGTCGGGCTCATGGCTCTGCCCATACCGCGTTCGTGTTGCCTTCACAGCGCGCCCACCTGTCTCGAAAGGCTTGACGGTAACCCTCGCCGAGCAGTTCATCTCGAGTCCCATGATCGTGGATTTCTCGACATTTTCTCCGGGACTGGTTTTCATTCTGAGTCGTTTCCAGACGGACCCAGGGCCCAGAAAACGCCCTCCAGACGCAGACATGTGCAACAAAGTTCCAGCACTAAATTTCCGAGCCGCCAGAGATGTGGGTCTTCTGTGGCGGGGAGCGTTGCGTGAGGATTTTTTTCCCGACGGCAAGACCATGGCGCACTCATGACAATAGCCTGTCGCAGGACAAGTGAGGGATCAAGTGCAGTCCAAGGATGCGCACTTCCTCTGGAGGTCCCACGCCTCAAGGGGGTGTGACTTTGGAGGGGTTCTTGCCGCCCCGTCGCGTCCAGCTGGCCAGGGAGCACCACGTATTTCGTTTGAGATACGGGAAAGATACAGCAGAGACGGAGATGAGCATACAATGTGTCGTTCGTGGTTTCTCCGTGGTTTCGCTCAGAAGTAGTCTGGTGAACGGGATCGCGATCGATTTCAAGGTTGAGCGATCGACGCGGCGTCGGAAACCTTTGCGCGCGCTGACGCCGCACGAACCTACCTTGTGCAGCCAGCTGTGGAGGCGCAGGCCGCGGCCTCGTCTGCATCCACCGCGCGCCGCGAGTCCGTGCGGAGAGGGGAAAGGCTGCGGAGCGAGCACGCAGAGGCGAGCCAAAAACTGCCCGTTGGGCCGCAGATTTCCGCGCGAGGGCTGTGCCCGAGAGGGGCGGAGGCGGCCAGCATGCGATACGTGCCCACCGAGGCCGCAGGTAGACGTCCCCCGCTTTTTTCGGCGTCCGTCGCTTTTTGGGTGGCCTTCGCTTTTTTTCGGCGGCCTTCGCTTTTTTCGGCGCCCGTCGCTTTCTTCGGCGGCCTCCGTTTTTGTTCGGCGGCCGTCGCTTTTTTCTGCGCCCGCGTTGCCATTTTGTCGCGCCGGCTGCTTTCGCCCAGTTTCGGGCCCTGGGCCCTCACAGATCGATCCGACGGGGCGCAAGAGACGGGGGCCCATGCAAGCGGGGCAGGGTTGCATTGCCTTGGGCTTGGGCGCAGGACCTGCAGGATCCTGCAAAGCCTGGCTGACCCGGGTCTGGATTGACCCGGGTCAGTAGATCCTCGAGTCTGGCTCGAAAATCGACGCGGAAAAATTGGGTTTGTAGGTTTCCTGTCGTGATTTGAAGCGATGTTGCATTTTTTGAAAGAGCGCTTTCTGCCGCTCTTGGCAGGACCCCCCTCCTCCGGTTCGAACCGAGGGGGGGAGCACAACAGCCTCCCAGTCCGGACTGAGGGGAGAGGCGTTCAGAGGCCCCCCCACCCCTTGGGTTCGGACCGAGGGGGGGGGGTTGTGGGCCGCCACGGGCGAAGACGACACCAGCGACGAGGGCAACGACGACCACGACCACGACCACGACCACGACGACGACACCGCCCTCCCAGCCGGTTTCCGGGGAGGAGGCGGGCTCCCTCCCCCCGGGTTCTGGGGAAGGGGGGGGGCTTTTAGCCCCCCTCCCTCCACCCCCCCCCCGGTTTCCTGGAGGGGAGGGGGGATAGTTTGCAGCCTAGCGACAGTAGATCACGCTCCCTCCACTTGTTTCACAACGTCAGTTCTCGGGGTCCTTGTGCGGCAAGGTCCGCATCAGAGGGGGGCAGATTGGGCGGAGGCCCCAATGCGAACGCATCCGTTGAGACCCCAGGTGGCAAAATCCACGTGAGGCGTGGAAGGGAGGAGGAACGAACTAGGCTTACATGCGAGCCCTATCTCCTTTTGAGGCCGTAGGTAGAGCTCTCAGCAGGGCACGATCTGTGTGAAGGGTGTGCCGAATTGAGTGGACGCTTGCATGCATGGGGCCGTAGGTGGAGCTCACTGTGGGATACGATCTGACGGAGGGGCGCGCCTAGAGCAGGCGGGGCGATGCCATGCGAACCCTCCCTCAGGGGCCGTAGGTGGAGCTCGCTGTGGGGCACGATCCGTGTGAGGGATACGGTCGGACCGAGGTAGAAGATCGAGGTCGGTTCGGGGAGGGTACCATATTATTCGTGTTTGTCGGATGTTCTTGTGCACCCTGGGGAGGGTACCCTTGGATATTCTGTGTGTGTTGGCCATCGGAGGGTCTCGTGCTCTTGAAGGATGGTCTTCTATCTTAGGTTCGACTGTATGCCGAAATGGGCGGGGCGAACGAGCTCCCCACGACGTGTCGACCAAAGGCAGCGAGGCCCTGAACCCCCTGTCCATCGACCTTTCCAAGATGCCCACTTGCCGGATGACGATGCGACCTCTGTAGCTTAGCTTCAGGCGGCTATCGATAAGAAAGTGGATCCTGAGAATGGACCCCACGTTCAACCTCCCGGATTCCATCTGGAGCAGGGCGGTCGTCAAAGTAAACATTCAGAATGTAACATCGATTCAGGGAGGAACCCCATGGTGCAGAACCTGGTAGGCGTTCAATGTTTCTCTGTCGCTTCTGCATTTCCAGGTGGTGGCCGCACGTGCTGCGGTCGTCATTATTCGTGTTCTCCTGAGCGTGCCGCTTGCAGGAGCCTGAAGGTGTTTGGAATTGGTGCGCGTGATTGCACTGCACTTTTTCTGGTTGAGTTTACGTGCGAGGTGCTCCCATCGCGAAGGTGCATCATTTGATGGACTGAGTTCTGATGCAGAGCACGCTGCAATGCGGCCTGGTAACATCTTCATATGTCATGATCTCAGAACTATACAGAATCGTGATGTAAGTTCAGGTGATGACCATGGTCGCGCTGATCATGATTAGCATGACTGTCGTGTGCCTTCGATATATGTTTGACTGTCTTGATTTCATTAGTCGGGCCCTTTCGCCAATCGTGGATTTCTTGCGTGCGCGTCCGATGGCCCGTCAAGGTCTTGCTTGTCAAATGTGGAAAATCGGAGAGGCCCAGTGCCCCCCGGCCCCTGGTCCAGAAATGTGTCATTTGGACTAGTTGGATCGTTTACGTGACAGATTGTCCGCGCCAGGCGCCTGTGTCCGTGGATGAGCCGTTGGTCTTGTTGGATTTCGAGGACTTCGTTGGCCTGTCTATAATGCGGATTGCCTAGCATCAGCACGTCGAAGGCTCTGACAGCTGGATGTGGGACTGCGCAAATCGAAATCTAGATCAGCAATGTTGAGCATTAGCGCAAATATAAGGCAAAGGCACAGTCAGAGGCACAGCCATGCTCGACGACGGGTCGTAAAGTGTCTCTGGCTATGGGTCGGCCAGCACACGTCGGTCCTGGTGAGACAGCTTACAGGTTGACCTGCAAGCATCATTGAAATTGAAGGTCGGGTGAGCACGCACAACACAAAAGCGATTAAAGCAACGAGCTCGCATGAGGAAGAGTCGGGGGATTGCAGCACCCGCCGCATGCTGGTTGATCACGGGCTTGGATCGCATAGAAGAGAGACCCAGGCTCTCGACAACTTGAGCTTATCAGATCCCCAGCTCCTGTAGCTCTCGACACATTCCCCGTGAACGGGCCTTCGTCCCGAGCCGTTTTTTGTCGAGGGTCTTTGGGAGTCCCTGGTGCTGGGGCATCGTACTGGAAATTGTTGATGTAGATGGATGCGATGGTGTGTATATATATACACATTGTATATATATACACGTTATGAACGTGCTGCCGTGTTGAGTGATGTGACACTTCACAGGGCGTGTGCCCTGTGAAGTGTCACGATATGTTATGGCATGCTAACACGCGGTGTACTTTCATATGCTTGTATTGCAGATGTTCGTTTCTTCCACTCCTCCCTCTCATCCTCCCACGCCTCCTCCTCATCAACCTCCTCACTCCTCTTCCTCCGTCTTCCTCACCCCGCCTGCACCCATCCCGTCATCCCGTCCCTTCATCCTCTGCCTCCTACTCTTCTTCCACCTCCTCCTCCTCCTCCTCCTCCTCCTCCTCTGGACCCCCTTCGGGGATCATCCTTTAAAATTGGAACGATACAGGTAACGCTACGTGGCGCAGTTGCTCAGGTCCTTTGTCAGCTGCTCGACTTTCCTTGGAGAGGATTGGTTGGTCCATGGCCGACTTCACGACCCTGGTCACGGACACTGGGGTGGAAATCAGTCTCACCACCACTTCCCCAAAACTCATCAAGAGGCATCTGCACCAAGGGGTCCTGAGGTCCTTGGAGAAGTATTCTGGACAAAAGCTGGGGTCCGAAGGCAGGTCATGTTTCGATGTCGTCAAGCAGCAGCTCAGGTCCAGGAGGCTTACGCCTTTGCAGAAAGGCTCTCTCAAGTGTTTTGCCTGTGACGGGCTGTGGACGAAGACCCGTGCGCAGGCTTCAGGCTACGCTTTAGAAGGTGACGATCTCCTCTGTGAGCTGTGCAAAAGCGCTCCTGATACGATCCAGCACCGGTTATATGAATGCCCAGTCGTCGAAGATCGTAGATTGGAGATCGTTGACCCTCAGTTCGTGCAGAATGCTCTGGAGGCCCAGCCTGATCAGGAGGATTTCCAGCTCTATACCAAGGCGTGTTTCCCGCATCCAGGTGACAAGCTGCCGCCGCCCGCCAAGGAGTCCCCTATTTCAGTGTCTTGGGCTGGTTCGACCTCCACCAGTACTGAGATCTCAGGGCATGTGTTTTTGGACGGGTCCCAGACCAAGTGCGATGTTCCTGAATTAAACAGGGCTGGTTGGGGTTTGGCTGTTTTCAACGATGACCTCGAGCATGTTTGTTCCATTTGGGGCCCGATCTGGGCCCACCTCCCGCAAACGTCCCAGGCTGGAGGGTTTGGCGCCTACGGTGCCTCAAATGAGTTTCTTGTTGGCCCATCCGTGGGCTACAGTGATTGCAGTAATGTGGTCAAGCAGTTTGCTCAGACTGGTGTCAGGCAGACTCATTATAAGAGACCATATGCTGACATGCTTCTGAAGAGGAATTCTTTTTCCTCGTGTTGTGAAGGTTCGTGCGCATGTCAAGGACAGCGACGAGCTAACATATTATGAACTTTTCTGCAAGAGAGGGAATGATGCAGCTGACCAAGCTGCTAAGCAGGGCGCTGTTTCCCACCCACAGCCCTCGCCATCTGAGCTGCAAGAGGTTTCGCGCCTCACGACTGCAGCTAGGAAGGTGTGTAAGCTCGCCTACTCCCTCCTCCCCATCTGGCCAAAACTGGATCTGACCAATGTGCCCTGGCACAGGCAGTCTGAGCCTGCAGCCAAGGTGGAGCCGAATTCAGTCGCCCACCAGTGGCACTGGTGCCGCACTTTGTGGCGTTGCCAAGCGCGCCTTCAGTTCAAGCGTCAGCAATCCAGACCCCCCACAGGCAAGTGCTCGGGTGTTTTGCCGTCTGCGGCTCTCGGTTTCCAGGACCGTGGTCATCGGGTGATTGGTCTGGAATGTTCCAACGAAACCATGCTATTCCTGTGCATGAGATGTTTCGGGTACACATGCGGTGGTCAGTTTAAGAAGCTTCGGGCCGATTGTAGGCCAGAGGTCAGAGGCAATCTCAGTAAATATTATTATGCAGTGTTGCGGTCGCTCAGCCGTGGGCTGCACCCCAAGCTTGCGGGGGTAACGTGCCAAGTGTTTATCCTTGATGATATTGAGCAGGAGGCGGAGGACCAGAGTGTTGGTGTGGTTGAGGCGTCGTTCGAGTCGGGTGGTGGGGGCCGTCTCGTGCAAGTCGCTCGGCCTGATCCGTCTCCTGCTCAGAGTTCCTCCCCCCAGACCCCGAGGCCACCCGTGCCCTTGGTTCCCTCTGGTCCGGAGGGGAGGAGGAATTCGGATTCTTTTGCGGTGGGAGAGGAGGTTGCTCGCTTCCTGTTCGCCCACACCAGGCCGTCTCTTGCCAATGCGTTGGAGGGTAGCCCCACCGAGCAGCAGAGTTCAGGCAGGCTGCGCCTCCTCCAAGAGGAGGATGATGCCCCCCTTCTGATGAAGGATGCTCGCGTTAGGTCTGCGGAGTCTGATGACTCTGACTGACTCCGGTCCTTGGGGTGCCCGTCGTTCGCGTCAGCCACCGCCTAGGTCCGCTTGTGTGCCAGATTTATCTGGCCTCTCCCAGGTGTCACCTCCTGGGCATGGTGCGGAGTTAAAAATCATCCTCCTCCGTTTCCTCCTTCTCCTCCTCCTCATCATCCCCCTCCTCTTCCTTCTCCTCCTCCTCATCATCCTCCCCCTCTTCTTCCACCTCTTGCCTGTTCCTCCTCCTCCTCCTCCTCATCATCATCATCATCATCATCATCATCATCATCATCTTCCTTTGTCTTCTTCCTCCTCCTCCTCCTCCGCCTCCTCCTTCTCCTCCTCCTCCTCTCCTGCCTCCTCCTCCTCCTTCTCCTCCTCCTCCTCATCCCCCTCCGCCTCCTCATCATCAACTGTCTCCTCCTCCTCCTCCTCCTCCTCCTCCTCTTCCTCCTCCTCCTCCTCATCATCCTCCGCCTCATCCTCCTCTGGACCCCTTTCGGGAATCATCCGTTAACATTGGAACGATACAGAAAAATAGCATGGCCCCTGCGCAAGGATGACACGCACAAACTGAGAAGCGTATACAAGTTAACAGGGGCGCTCGCTTCTCTTCCTCCTCCTCCTCCTTCTCCTCCTCCTCTTCCTCCTCCTCTGCCTCCGTAGCCATTTTGGCTCAAGCCATTTTGGCTCAAGACTCTTGCACTTGGGGGCCCCGCGCCTCCGTGCCAAAACGGGATAGCTCTGTTCCCCGAGTTTGCTTCGAACGTTCCTCGTGCAACGCTTTGCACGAGTACATTCCATGTGTGAGCTCCTGCTGGAGCAGTGGCGGCCACGAGGCTGCTCTGGCTGCCTGTCGTCCTGCTCGCGGGCAGCCTCGCGAGGGCCCGATGGGGACGCCAAGCGGGCACCGCCAGCGCAGAGAGGAGGCAGCCAGGCCATGGTTCTGTCGATTCTGCTGGGCCCCTCGCTCTGGCGAGCACTGGTGGAACGTCGCCGCCGCCACATCCTGCAAGCAGTGCCAGCGGTCCAAGGGCGTGGCGTTCCACTCTCACAGGGAGCCCAAGGTCCCGTCGGTCTCGGTCGCAACGAAGGACCGGGACAAAGCGGACCGTGAGTTTGAGACCGAACTGCGCAAGGTGCAGGCCGAACTCAAGAAGGTCAAAGCGGAGCTGGAGAAATCCAAGGCTGGACCGCCTCATGTCCTGGGCGACGCCAGCATGGACGTGGACGACGGAGCCGTGGCCGAGTCTGATCGCGCCAAGGAGCTACGCAAGCTCATTGACGATTTTGAGCACACTGCGGATTCGGCTGGTGCGGTTCGTCAGCTCCGCGACGGCTGGATTAAGGAGCTGGCCGGCTCGCGTGCTAAACAGCTTGGCGCCAAGCCGCTCCCGATCCAGATCCAACGCATTTCGCAGCATATCCAGGTGGCGGAGCGGAAGGCGGAGAGCAAGAAGAAGACTCTCGCCGAGCTGCAGGCCCAGATGCGCGATCTCCAGGGGCAGGTGGACGAAGTGGCGGCCAGCCTGGCGACGCTCCAGTCGGAGATCGTGCAGCTCGAGAGCCAGCGCACGGAGGTCGCCGGCCATTTCCCTCAGCCCGCCATGGTCGTCGACGGCGCCAAGGCGAGCTTGGACACGGTCTTTCCTGGGGTTCAGATGTCGGCAGAGCAGCTGGCCGCGGTTCTGGGCCCCTTCGGTGCTGGCGAGGAGCTGGCCAGGGAGCTGCACTCGGTGGTGGGCCGCGTGCGCGAGGCTGCCGTCAAGGCCCAGGCCGAGCGTGAGCGGCAGAAGGCCGCGGCCGAGGCCAGGCAGGCCCAGGAGGCCGTCGCTGGTGGCGGCTCTGGTCCTGGCGCCGCCGCGGCTCCTCATGCTGCTGGCGGTCCTGGTCCTGCTGCAGGGCCTGGGGCCGCCGCGGCGGGCGCAGGCTCTGGCGCTTGGATCCCGTGCGGTGTCGCCGATGACCCCGCGGAGCTCAGGGCCTTTTTGCAGGCGGTCGGGATGCAGGTCCCTGAGGACGAGGGGGAGCTGCGCGACGCAGCCAAGCGGGTCGGCGAAGGCCTCCAGAGCTTCGCGAAGAGGCCCAAGACACAGTAGGATAGCGGCTTTA